GTTGACATCATAAAAATGACTCAGATGCTGTTCGGTTGTATCTTTCGCTCCATCTCCGAGAATGACATCCAAAGTCGAAACTGATGTCGTTTTCTGGATATCGGACCGCTTTGAAGATTGCTTCGCAGTCTTGGCGTTTTTATTGGAACATAAATCGGTGCTCTTTGAACTAGCTTTTTTCGTTGAATACTTTTTCAATGAGTTAGTTTCTGACATAGGACAATGTGAAGCCTTATTGTCTTCAATTTCGACAATGTCTTCCTTGACACCATGTGCCAGTACTTCCTGTCTAGTCTCACTTGTATCAGCAAAGCATGCAGGCGCTTCTGCGCGGCCGACGTTTGCTTCCTCAAGACCCGTTCCATCAGCTTGAGTATAAAATATGTTTAAAAAGCAAATGAGAGAGATTGTTCAAAATAAGATACATTTTAAAGTTGAGTATTCGGGTTTTGCCATCTCAGCTCCATCCAACGTCACCACCTTGTATACAGAAATCTCACCCGTCAACACTCGATAATAAAAACCCTAAAAAGTGGTCAGAATTAATAAAAACACTGTATTTGAAACTAAGTTATTGCGAATATGAAATCATCCAAAATAGTACTAGAAAGGGAAGTTCCAAGAAAAAATCAAACCTTATTACGGCAATCTGTCACGTTCTCTATAAACATCTTGGTCCAGTTCTTATATTTCGGTGAGTTTGGATTTGATTCGCAGGTTTTAAAAAGAGCTGCTTCTACTGCTTCTGCTGTATCCTTACACAATTTCACTGCCGACTTGACCTTGTCCATTTTCGCTCTGAAATCCCCAAGTGCGGTATTCGATTCAATCACATACGCATAAGAATATCAACAAATTTGGAGGGCTCATAAGAAAGCTCTAAAGGCGAAATATGGAAGTTTATAACTTGACATGAAGTTGAGATAGCATAGAAGCAGAAGTAAGTGATATTACATGGACAGCGCATACAGAATAATTACAATTTGAACGCTTTTGAGTTGTTGAGCGTACACCGATATATTAACTTTTCTTTAGTGACGGACAACGTTTCGGCACTACCGCCTGCGTCAGAGCCTAAAAAGTCGAACAAATCAGTGAACCATCCACTTAGACGTCAACGTCATCTCGCCTGACCATCCTTCCACTTCGCTATCTGCATCAGAAATCACTATCATTAAACGCTACTTTCTAACCTCATCAGCGATGCTTCGACTCGGGGCTTTTTTCCGAGGATTTGCAGGAGGTCATTCACAAAGAAAACCTTCTATAAGTTCATGGTTGGTGACTTCAGTACAAGCATCAGGATGCCAGGA